CATCCCACCGCCAGAAAGTACAGAGTATTAATTAACTGGATACTAGCAAAGAAAAAGGAAAAAGTATACGGTACCACAGACGACACCTCTCAGCTCACACACGGCACGAGTATTGTCTACTAAATACAAGCAGCGCAGAAAAGTACATGTGATAATAGATAATACATACATCCCATTGTGTGTGTGTGTGTGTGCGCGCGTGTGTTGTTGTTGTTGTTGTTGTTGATGTTGTTGTTGTGCGCTGTCACGCCAGCATAGGTCAGCCATCCCCCCGCTCATGGGGGCCTAACCAGATAGGATTCTATACTGCGACGCTGATCCACAAACCTCTGCTCTCCGGACCAAGACACAAAGACCCCTGCACCCATACTGGGTTTTCCCTTTCCCGCTGCTCCTTCTTTCCCTCTTCCCCTGTCTTTTAACCCATGACCCCCACCACCAGCTTGTTCTTTGCTAAGAGAGGGAGGGGGGGGAGAGAGAGAGGTTGGTTAGGTTTTTTCCCTCTTTCTTTCCTGGGAGGGTGGAGGGAGGAGGGGGGGGGAGGGGCTTACTCGTCCGTCCACCTGAAGCAAAGATCAGGGGTGGTAGGGTCCACTCGAAGGAGGCGTTGCCATTCGTAGCAGCGCGTTTCCTGATATTTGCTCGTACAGAGTACTGCTACTATGGAGTATTGACGCTTGTCCGTCTGTCTATCTGTCTGTCTATTGTCTGTGATACTACTGCTACTGGGTAGAATCGGTGAGTATGACAATGTGCAAGGCGGATGGCAGATCTGCCGGGATTCATGCGTACATGTAGATACTCGTACATTGCAGCTAAGTACGAGTAAGAAGCATAAGGACAGCGAACAAGGTAAACAATGCGCCGTCAGAAAGAGAGAAAGAGATCTCCCAAAGTTAGGCCCAATCAAAGGGGGGCCTGCCAGACCTCGCATCGCATCGCATGTGCAGACGGCAAGCTGTACGGTAGCATGTAGTCTGTAGGTAGGTACGTGCTTCCATAGGGCATGCCGCATTGTACATTTACTGTGCATGCTATAGTATACGCTGTACGAGTAAGAAGCAGTCACTACGATTCTCTTGAGAGGGGTACAGGACAAGAATCCATGGCAGATCTTTGCATCGTCAATGCTTGTTTACTCTCTGAATCTCCCGCTTTCTCCAAGAGTTGCCACTACATGTAATACTGCTGCTGGTTACTGTACTGCTTCTTACATCGGCTATTCACCTCCTTTTCTTTTTTTTTTTCCGTCTCCCTTCCCTTGATACCAAAAAAAGAAAGAAAAAAAAGTAGACGAGACACGCCGGAAGAGACCCGTCTCTTTTTTCACACCGCATTGCGACTTTTTTCCCCCTTCATCCTTCTTAACTAGGGCATAGACACACACTTGCCCCGGGGTACGAGTACGAAAAAAAAAGAAAGTGGCACGGTAAACTTGCCGGGGTGGGAAGAGACAAGAGTAAGAGAGAGAGGTGGGGAGGGGGGGGGGGGGGTAGTCAAGTTCCTACTCGTACATGTAATAGCGATACAGGTACGTAGCCGTATCCTGTACGGGGGTTGGATGGAGGGTGAAGNGGTAAACTTGCCGGGGTGGGAAGAGACAAGAGTAAGAGAGAGAGGTGGGGGGGGGGGGGGGGGGGTAGTCAAGTTCCTACTCGTACATGTAATAGCGATACAGGTACGTAGCCGTATCCTGTACGGGGGTTGGATGGAGGGTGAAGGACGTTGCTCCGTTTGTACCGGTACCTCTTCGGGGACATATCATGGCTGGCCAAACGGCCAAGGATAATGAGTAGGAGAGGGTTTGTACCACATGTTGAACCGAGTACCGAGAAAAAAAACATGGCTCAACGTCAGATGGGGATGAATACGTTGCGCCAAAACGGGTAGTGCTATAGGAGTAACCTATAGATGGACCGTAGGAGAGTACTGTTTTCTTTGCTCTGAAAGAGGCAAGAAAACCAGAGGCGACTATACGAGTACACACAATGTTGGGACTGGACGATGATGATGAATAGTACATGTATGTACTCATACTGGTACGAGCACAGAGAGAGAGAGAGAGAGAGAGAGAGAGAGAGAGAGAGAGAGAGAGTCACCCAGACTAGCCCGAGACCAGAGACAGCTGTAGCGCCTACGGTTACGTCCCACAGCCGTCCAACTCCACGGGCTCCGCCAATCTTGGGCCTGACCGAACCTGATGCTATCCCCTGTCCCATCTTCCCCACTTACTCTCTTACGACCACGAGCTAACAGGTTTACTCTCTCTCTCTCTTTGTGTCTCCCAGTCTCTCTCTCTCTCTCCTCGGACCTATTCAAGTACCAGTACGAGTTTCACTTGGAATGCGGACGACCTATCCACCCCCCCCCCTCTTCTCCCCCGGCTGCTTCGCGCCAAACCATGGTAGCAAGGATAGGAGCCAACACACACACACACACACACACACACACACACACACACACACACACACATCCACACACACACACATCCACACACACACACATCCACACACCCACGCACACAATTCGACACTGAGTGAACAAAGACACGAAAAAAAAACATGCAAAGTCGAAAGAACAAACCAAACAAGGGAAATGTTTTAAGTGGCGGGGAATCACCTTTGCAGCACAGCTCCGGTAGTTTGTGCCTCTCATACCGAGAAGGTGATGGAAAGAAAAAGAAAAAAATTGATACTGATTGAAAAGAGGAAGGAATCATTCATGGAAGGAAGGACCGAAGGGGGGGGGGCATTGTAGGTTCCTTTTTCTTGCTTTGCCTTATCTCTTGGTTAGCTCGAACCCCGAGACGGCTCAAGTTTTCGGAGTAGCACGAGTACCGTACGCTGTGGTGATAGTCGTACTACAGGTGTTATATGTACTGTTATTGAGCTAGCAGCTCGGAGTGGTTAATTGTATCTCGGTATTTACTACTGAACTCTACATGTATGAGTGCGAGTGATTATCCCGGATAAAACAAAAAAAAATACTACTGAGTACTATAGCCACCCAACTAGTATCATTACTAGCAGTAACTGGCTGGCCCGTCCAGGTTGTGAAATACACGTTATTCGTACCAAATAGCGTCAGAAGAATTGACAGGGTTGTTGACGACAGCTCCGGGCCAAAACGCCACAGCGGGACACCGCTGTTGTTGGCTCTTTTCGCGCCTCTGCTCCCTCCCCCCTCCCCCCTCCCCTCCACGACAACTCAATGGACGGTCCTCCTCCACTTCCTGAGCCCTGGCTGGTGAGATGGAGAGGGTGGAAGAATTGGAAGTCACCCCCAACCGCCAGCCATTTGCGTACATATACATTATTTGTCGCCCTTCAATTGTCAATCCTACACTAGCTAAGAGACAAAAAAAAAACGAATGTTCCGATACGGATACACACCTCTCTCTCTCTCTCTCTCTTTTCTTTCCCAT